CGTGAAGCAGTCAACGCCGAACAATTGCACTGAGGGCGGGAAATCCGAGCTTTGTGGAGGAGTTTCTACTTGCGTCTCGCCCACGTGACGATAAGGAAGACTTTCGTCTGCTGTGTGATGATCTTCAATCGAAAGTTGATAGTGAAACACGATACTCGCATGCTAGTTTTTTCTTCGTAGCGACCTCTTGTTCGAGAACACTTCATCAGTTCGGCACGAAAGAGCAAGTGATTTTTCTGCACGATCAAGGCTTAANCAAGTCCATGAGAAGGAAAGTTAATTGTGCCAAGGGTTAATTTGTTTCGAAAGTTGATAGTGAAACACGATACTCGCATGCTAGTTTTTTCTTCGTAGCGACCTCTTGTTCGAGAACACTTCATCAGTTCGGCACAAAAGAGCAAGTGATTTTTCTGCACGATCAAGGCTTAATCAATCCGTCTTGAAACTTGAATTATTAAGACCCAGACAACTCAAGGATTTTTCTGTAGGTTAATGTGTTCAAAAGTTGAGAGATAATCCCCTAAAAACGAAGGATATACTGGACATTCAACTGGGAGATTTATGGTGGTTAAAGGAAGTAACAAGCTGTTCTTCCCATGCTAAAATCACTTTATTCCCATCTGGTTTGAGAAGTAAAATGGGGAATTCTAAATTGTGTGGTAGTGCTCAGCATTTATTATAGCTCGAGTAGGATAAGGTTGGGCGAACACGTGCAGTAAATGCTAAACGCGATACCTCGAGGCCAGCAATGAAGTTACTACTGCACCTGTGCCCTTGCTGGTGGGCACATGCTGCGTGTCAATTGGACACTTAACCCCGCAAAAAAAGAAGAAATGAAGCATGATCCTTACCATATGTTCTGGTTTAGGCTCCATAAACTTTTGACGGATAAATGCACCTACTAAACCATAGATTCTGACCAAATTTCCCCCTTCCTGTTCCAAATTATTCTGGCCAGTTGCAATTTCTCGCAAATTTTCTCTATAGGTATCGTCTTGTGTAATACGATACGAGCGACATCTAGCCTAATTTAGGAATCATTTTTATGTCCTGTCCAACCGATTGTAGGTTCCAGCCCACCTTCCACAACCACTCGTTTCAGGTTCTTCCTTCATTCTCGGAGTGCTTGTGAAAGGTTTAAGGACTCATGCGTTCTTCGTGAAGAGTGATTGCATTGGATATTCCGCGACTCGTCCGAGTGATTCACTGAGAAATATTCCTTAACGTGGGGGTTTCTTCTGAGGTATGAGTTGACCGGGAAAAGAAGACAAGTTCTCGAAGAATGTTTCACCATAGTGGTGCTTGTAACCTTTGAAACTGCAAGCGCTGGTCTAATGAAGTACAGTATTTCAATATTTTCAGCTCTAGTAGGTAAGGAATAGCAAATGC